CCGAGCCCCAGCCGCCGGCGCGCCGGCTCCCCGCGCTCCCGAGCCCGAGCTGCCCCCATTCACTCACCCCTGCGCCGCCGCCGCCGCCGCCGGTACCCGAACTTGAGGAGAAACTGCGCCTGGAGAACGCGCCGGCGTCGTCACCTCCGGCGCGGACGCGGAATGATGACATCAGGCGGGCCGGGGGCGGGAAACCGCGCCTGACGTCACTTCTTGGCCGTCGCGCGCCGATGACGCACTTGCGCCCTAGGGAACCGGTGCCGGCGCGGTCCCCGGAGCCGCGCCCAGAGGCCGCCGGTGCCCGCGGCGGCCCCGTTGGCCCCCCGCCGTCCGCCCGGCCAGCTGGGGGAAGCGGGGCTCGGCCTGCGCCGACCTCTGAACCCGGGGCCAGGGCGGCTCTGCTAACCGGGGGTCGACTCCCCTCGTCCCCGGTGACTTGAATCCCCGAGCTCTGAAGCCGGGAAGCGCCCCTCCCGCGTCCGTGCTGTGAAATGGCGGGGAGTGGACAGACCGACGGGACTTCCGGACCGAGGAGTCCCACGAAGAATGCTTGACCTTTGGGCTGGGAAGGGGGCTCAGTGGTAGAACACTTGCCTTGCATGCCTGAGGCCCTGGGTTCGATTCCACACAAGCAAAAAGCCGGAAGTGGCGCTGTGGCTCAAGTGGTAGAGCGCTCGCCTTGAGCTGAAGAGCTGAGGGACAGCGCCCAGGCCCGGAGTTCAGGCCCCACGACCAGACCCAAAGGAAAAAAATTAAAAAAAAATACTTGACCTTTGTTTTCCTCTTTCAGAAGGCCTTTGACGGTTGCTTCCATGCCTTTCTCCTGTAGACTGACCTGCGCAGGCCGCAGCCCCAGGACAATGCACAGGGTCGGCTCATCGCACAGCAGAACCAAGGCTCACTCACGTATTTTCAGACCGTGTTGTTGGCGGCACTAGGCTACCAACATGAATACTGCAACAGGTGAATTCAAAACACTGTACACGTAAGTTTTGTATCCTGTACTTTAATTCAGTTTTGCTTGGTATAAAACAAATAAGACCGCACTGAAGTAGGCAAGGATAGTTCTCAAGTTTTTCTTTTTTGGCAATACTGGAACTGAATTCCATCTCAGATGGGAGGCAACGGCTCTACTAGATCCATGCCTCCGGCTTACCACACCTCCCTCTGAGGTAGGTCTCAGCAGCTGTGCCCTGCCTGGCCTCCAGTGCTCCATCCTCCTGCCTCTGGGAATGGCTGAGGTCACACGCATGTACCCCATGTCTGACCTCAAATTTTCTCAAGGTGGGAATGTCATGAGGCCCTCATCAAGAGGACTCTACACCACCACTTGTGCAGACGCCCTCACCTGCAGAGAGCCTCTAAATCACACTTGAACAAATACACTTTCCAAAAATGAAAACTTAAAATACAAACAAGACTTTTTCCAATTGGAATAACTGCAAACAATCTGAGCCCCAAAGAAAACGGTAAGTATTTCAGAGACCCCAAAGCTGGTATGTCCTTTGCTCTGAGCTAGAGTGGGTACAGCTTGTCCATGGTCAGCATAATCTTGAGGATCTACTCCTGGTCCCTGTCCAGGAGAGCTAAACATTTTTTTTCCCCAGACTTTTTTTTTTAATTGTGAAAATACTGTAGAGGGGATACAATTACATGGGTAAGGTAATGAGTACATTTTTTACCAAGCATTATTGCCTCCTCCTTTGTTTCCCCTTCCCAAGCTAAACATTCTTATTTACAAACTGAGAAAATGTGCTGGGTGTGTGGCTTAGTGGTTCAGTTTGCCTAGCAGGTGCACAGCCCTAGGTTCAATCCCTAGCACTTGGGGGGGGGGGAGGAAGAGGAGGGGGAAACAATACTAGTAGCTCACACCTGTAACTCTAGCCTCTCAGGAGGCTGAGATCTGGGGAATGATGGTTCAAGGCCAGTCTGGTCAGACAAGTTTGAAACTCCCACCTCCCAAATAACTAGCAAAAAGCAGAAATGGAAGGGTAGCTGAAGTTGTACAGTGCCAACTTAGTGAGGTTGTTGAGTTCAAATCCCCAAAAAGGAGAGATGAAGAAGTTACAACCAGGCTATATTTTGAAAAAGAAAAAAAGTCCATAATAGAATATTGGTCAAAGGCAAAATAAAATTAAAAACTTAATCGGAAATCAGGCATTGTGACCATCCTTGTAACCCCAGCACTTTTGACACCGAGGCTGAATGATCTCTAGCTCAAGGACCCTAGGCTTAAAAGCACCCCCCACAATAAAAGATTTCTATCTTTAATAACTTCCTTGGTTTAGTTTCCAAATCAAGGAAACAGTGTAAATATTTGTGTATCTGTGCTGGGACTTGAACTCAAGGCCTCCTTTCCTGGGCATTTCACTCAATGCTGGTACTCTTATCACTTGGAGCCACACCACCACTTCCAATGTAAACATTCTGAAGCCCTGGGAAGCACCTCGTCTGGTCGATGTGAAAATGCGCTGTACCTCCACAATCTCTACTGAGCTAAACCAGGAAGCTAAAGCGTACTGGTTTTGTGGTAAAGGTTTTAAAGGCACTACTGAGCAGAGCAGAGCTCTATTTGGCTGACAGTTGTGTGTGTGTATACATGTGTACGCACACATTCGCATGTGTGCGTGTTGGTACTGGGGCTTAAATTTAGGGCTTCCATTCTCTTGGCTTCTCAAGCTAGCGCTCTATCACTTGAACCATGTTTGGTTCTGGCTTTTTTTTTTTGCCAGTTGTGGGGACTGAACTCTGGGCCTGGGCACTGTCCCTCAGCTCTTCAGCTCAAGGCCAGTGCTCTACCACTTGAACCACAATGCCACTTCTGGCTTTTTCTGCTTATGTGGTGCTGAGCAATCAAACCCAGGGCCTCATGCATGGGAGGCAAGCCACCACTGAGCCACCTTCCCAGCCCCTGGTTCTGGCTTTTTAATGGTTAACTGGGTGTAAGTCTTTTGGATTTGTCTGTCCATGCTGGCTTTGATCCTCAGTCCTCAGATGTTAGCCTCCCAAGTAGCTAGGATTACAAGCCTGAGCCACTGGCGCCTGGCTGACTGATATTCCTTGTAATCCGCCCCCCCCCCCCTTAGGGGCCTCTGATTCACCATGTTTATTTTTCTCAAATTAAAGACACATTTTGGATTGTACAAGAGTATTCTCAACTTCATAAGCAGATATATAATGTTGATATAGAGGAATTTATGATTAACAGAAAATAAAAGTATTTTTAGGTCAGCGCTGTGTGCATGGCTATAGCCTCAGTCACTTGGAAGGTGGGGATAGGAGGTTTCAGGCCAACCAGGGCAAAAAGTTAGCAACAGCTCATTTCAACAAATAAGCCAGGTGGTACACAGCCACGGGGGAGCCCTAGACAGCATCCTGGTCAAGGACCGCAGACAAAAGGCGGTACCCTCCCTGAAAACAACTCAGAGCGAAAGGGCTGGCAGAGGGTCTGAGCGGCAGAGCTACCAGGCTCACACCTCCCGGGAGAGTGCTGTAGCACTAAACCATACTCCAAAACTTGTATGCCTCCAAATATGTGGCAAACAAGTGAAGGAAGTTCTGTCCAGCTTACAAAGGCACAGACAATGACCTGGATAAAGGAGGAATTAACCCAAGTAACAACACCCAGTGTAAGTGCTTCTGCACACGAGAACATACTATTCTACATAAAAGTACTACACAACATTAATTTAAAAAAATGTCTGTACAATCATAAGTGGTCAGGCTGCGCTTCGAACTGTCCTGGGACAACTGTGGGAAGCAACACATGGGAAGCAAGGTGTGGTGAGGAGATGGGGCAGGAATGTGGGGCCAGAGCCTGGGGGGAGGAGGCATCTCAGGAGTGTCACAGGAAATTGCCTCACTTGCTCACAACTTTAGAAAATGTTTTGTTTACGGGGGTTGGGGGAAAAGGGGGGGAGAGGGGGGGAAAGGGGTGAGGAAAAGGTAGAGGAGGAATCGTTTCTTGGGCCACTACCTAGCCACTGTGGCACTCAGGCCAGGCATTCCCAACAATACTCGGAAGCCACTGAACCCTTAGGCGTGGTCTGCAGGAGGGCTGGGGCTCTTCCAACTAACGCCTACAGAGTTGCATCTTCCTCCTTGTAGCAGAAGCTTGGGAGCTTTGCTCTTGAGTAGACGAACCTGCTGTGCAGATGAAGCCCGCATCCATCCCCAGGCCACCTCCACTGTATTTTCTTTGGAGGAAAAGAAGGAGAAACCTGGGCAAGATCATCTTTAAAGTCGTGAAATCATCTTCACAGCAGAGGTGACCTCAGTGCAGACTGCACAGCTGGCTGGTCCCAGAGACAGGAGGGCAGTGTTTTAAAAGGTGGCTTGCAGGTTAAAAAGGCCTCATTTCTATTCATCATGGCAGACTTTCAAGTAGGAAGATGTTACTGAGGCGTAATTATTGCTCTTTATTTCTGAGATGTTAACCTCCTGCAGGGGCTGCTTTTGTACTCTCCAGGCTGGAAGCCAAGTGGAAACGAGTGACTGTCTGTCATGGGCACCGAAGGCCTGAGGAGCGGGGAAGGGAAGTTAGACGGTGCCAGCAGCTTCAGCCCAAGAGCCCCAGGGCTCAGGCTGATGCAGAAGGTCTCCAAGACTGGCTGGTGAAGAACGAAGCCCCCCTCAGAGCCCCAGAGATGAAGAGTGAAATGAAACCTCAGCCTCCAGGGCTCAGGGCACGGTCCCCTTTGCCCTCCTGAGCTGGCGAGGAGGGGGTTCACACACCTGGCCGCGGTCCCGCAGGATGCCATCACCTCCTGCACAGGGACTCCCGAAACCTTTGGCACTTGCTTTGCTAAGACAGAGTGTCACTGAATAAGCACGAGGGCTCTGCCCTGTCCTATGTGCCTCTGCACAGACATATGGCAGAGCTGCTGACCCCAGCATCAGGGACCCAGGCGCTGCCCACGTGGGACTCAGAACAGGACAGGCAGCATCAGCAGGAGGTGGGGACTCAGGGCAGCCCAGGCCAAGAAGGGGCCCTGCCCTTCCTGGGCGATTTAATGGCGTCCCCAGGTGACCTCAGGACAGCGCAAGCACAGTCAGGGAGGGAAGCAAGTCCCCGCACCCCCGCCCTTGTTTCTGGGTCTGGCTGCCTGGAGCCATGGGTCCCTGTGATTCGCTGGCTTGGTGATAACTTCCCAGCTACCACCAGGCGGGGCACCCTCATTCAGGTTGACCCAGGAGCTGTGGTCACCACAGGGCAGCCTTAAGTGTGCCAGGCCATGAGCTGTGGCCGCCTGCCCCCTCCTTCCTGCAGTGCTCAGCACTCACCATTAAACATGAGTCCCAGGGAGAAGAGCCTCACACCCCCCTCCAGCCCGGCCCGCGGTGGGGGACGGTGCAGCGCACGCGGCAGTTGGGCAGCCTGTGCTCAGTGGTGCTGTCGGGGCTCCTGGGGGCCCGGGGCCTCTGTGCTCGCTGCGGCCAGGCTCTGCACGGCCTCCTGCTGGCGCTGCCGGGCCTTGGTGTACAGCAGCACTCCCACTGTCACAAGGATGGTGCCAATGGCGGACAGGCTGGTGATTTTGTTGCCAAAAACGATGATGCTGAGCCAGATGGACAGCGCATGCTTCACGGTGCTGGCGACACTGCGGCAGCGGGGCAGAAGGCAGGTGAGGCCCGTGCCCACCCTGGTAAGCCCACCCCAGATGCACACCTCTGCGCGCCCACGCGGGAGCCCCGGGGGCCTGGGCCTTGTGGGGACACAGACGGAAAGCCTTTTACTGGCTACTGCATTCCTTCTTTTTCTCTGGAGTTGAGCACTTTTTGTTACAAAAAACGTCAGAGGCGCAAAGTGTGGGTCTGCCTCAAGTGGGAGTGGCCAGGCACAGTGGTGCACACCTGTGATTCTACTTATTTATTTTTTGGGTCTGGTCGTGGGGCCTGAATTGTGGGCCTGGGCGCTGTCCCTCAGCTCTTCAGCTCAAGGCTAGCGCTCTACCACTTGAGCCACAGCGCCACTTCCGGCTTTTTTCTGTTTGTTTATGTGGTGCTGAGGAATTGAACCCAGGGCCTCATGCATGTGAGGCAAGCGCTCTACCACTGAGCCACCTTCCCAACCCCCTCCCTGAGCTTCTTTTGTTCAAGGCTAGCACTCTACCACTTGAGTCACAGCACCACTTCTGGCTTTTTCCATTCATGTAGGACTGAGGAATCGAACCCAGGGCTTCATGCATGCAAGGCAAATGTTCCACCAGTGAGCCACATTCCCAGCCCTTCTCTCTTTTTTGAGATAGGGTCTCCCTACATAGCTCAGTCTGAGCCTCAAACTCAAAATCCCGCTGTTCCAGCCACCTGAAGTGTATACAGATCTATTTCCTGTCATCAATCCCTAAACAATATAAAAGGGGTTGGGAAGATGGCTCAGTGGTAGAGTGCTTGCCTAAACAATATAAAATGCTAATAAAACATAAATGCTACGTAGATAGCTGTTACATTGTTTAGGAATGATCACCAATACTGAAGATCCACGTTTTAGAATCGTGAGCCTGTTGGGGAGAGGGGTCTCCTCCCTGACATCTCCTGAGGTGGCTTCAGGCACCGTGTGACCCAGCTAGATGGGAGTTCAGGGATTGGGGGGAGGCAGCCCTGAGTGTCCACTGCTGGCCGGGCAGCAGCCTGGCCATCACATACACTGTCTGCACATTCCAGAAGTCCTCATCTACCTCCCCATTGTCCTGCCCACCTCCCCATGACAGTTTGAAGTTTAAAAAAAATCAGGTCCACCAACACAGCAGGACAGAGCCAGGGATCAGCCCTCACGACAAGAGCACCTCCATCCAAGTGCTGCTGGAAGACGCATACCTGTGGGATGGGACCTGTCCCAGCACAAGAGCGGCACAGGCAGACCGGCTTCCAGAGGCCAGCACTGGACACTCTCATCACTCACATGTAAATTGATGAAAGACAATAAAAGATCTATCTTTCAGGACTGGTGGCTCCAGCCTGTGGGCCTAGCTGCTGGGGAAGTGGAGATCCAGACATCTTGGTTTGAGGCCAGCCCAGGAATACAGTTGCAGAAGCTCCATCTCAACTGATTAGTTGGGCAAACAGACACTCTGGTGTCCCCAGATACAACAGAAGCACAATGGCTGGGCACGGTGGCCCGGGCCTCACTGCCAGCCAGCCAGGGCAGCAGAGGCAGAAGGCCCACAGCTGAGTCTGGCCACGCCTCCCGTGAGATCCTGCCTTGAGAATAACCAATGAAATGAGGGGCTGGAGATGTGGCTTGAGTGGCAGAGTGTCTGCCTGGAGAGTGCAAAGCCCTGAGTTCAATCTCCAGCGCTAGAAACCAAGAGTAACTGAACAAATTACTCTCTGGCCAATGTGGCCAGCGGCTGCGGCATGGGCAGCATCAGCAGAGGTAGTAGTGGACAGCACTTCACAGAGTGGTACTCGAGGACCAGGAACTTGTCCCATGCTGACTCCTCATAGGGCTCCTCTGAAGACCCACTGCACCTGTGCTGGATGGCCAGTTAGCACTATGGAAGAACCCTGGATAGCTTTCATGAAACCGCCCACGTTGGCCTTCCCTGCAGACCCCAGGGATGCCCCGTGCCCACCTGAAGGTCACAGGGGAGATCTTCCCCATGAGGGCGTAGGCGGTGACGCTCTGGAGGTGGAACAGGGCGCCGTCTGTCAGCAGCAGCAGCACAATGTCCTGGCTGTAGCTGAAGCTCTTCCCACTCCTCCCAATCACAGGCACATCCTAAAGCCAGAATACAAGGATGCGGTGCTGGCCTGTGCCCACTGGTACACCCCGCCGGGGAGGGGTCACGTCACCAACACCCAGCAGTCAGGTGAAGCCAGTGACGTTGAGGAGAGCACTGCAGGCGACCGTTAGGCTGACAGCCCAATGGGCCTTACCAGGACTCTCAACGTGCTTGGCCAGGAGTATAATAAAAACTGCACTGATGCCGGGCACCGGTGGCTCACGCCTGTCATCCTAGCTACTCAGGAGGCTGAGATCTGAGGATCACGGTTCAAAGCCAGCCCAGGCAGGAGAGTCCCTGAGACTCTAATCACCAATAAACCACCAGAAAACCAGAAGTGGCGCTGTGGCTCAAGCAGTAGAGCACTAGCCTTGAGCTGAAGAGCTCAGAGACAGCACCCAGGCCCAGAGTTCAAGACCCACGACTGACAAAAACCTAAACCAAACAAACCCACTGCATACTTTTAGGACAGTTGCTGTGGAAAACAAACCAGGTACTGCATGCACCCTGGGAGGCTGAGGCAGGACTGTGAGTTCAAGGCCAACCTGGATCGCATACCAAAACTTTGTCCTCTAGAAGACCAAACAAAATGCAAACAAACAAGCAGCCAGGAACTGGTGGCTCCTGCCTATAATCCCAGTTACTCAGGAGGCTGAGATCTGAGGATCACAGTTTAAAAGCCAGGCCAGGCAGGAGAGTCCACGAAAGTCTTATCTCCATTTAAACCATCAGAAAGCCAAAAGTGGAACTGGGGCTCAAGTGGTAGAGAGCCAGCCTTGAACAAAAAAGATCAAGGATGGGGCTGGGAAGTTGGTTCAGTGGTAGAGCGCTTACCTTGCATGCCTGAGGCCCTGGGTTCGATTCCTCAGCACCACATAAGAAAAAAGCCAGAAGTGGTGCTGTAGCTCAAGTGGTAGAGCACTAGCCTTGAGCTGAAGAGCTGAGGGACAGTGCCCAGGCCCAGAGTTCAGGCCCCACGACCGGACCCAAAAAAAAAAAATCAGGGATAACACCTGGGCCCTGAGTTCAAACCACTAGGATGGATACATAAAAAGAAAAAAAAAAAAAAGGCAGAAAACAAGCATTAATGAGGACCTGGGGAAATGGTGACCCCTTGGCCCCGGTGGGGTGAAAAGGTGTGGCCACCTGCAGGGAGTACAACAGCTCCTCAAAACCTAAACAGCCAGGCTCCAGTGGCTCATGCCTGTAATCCCAGCTACTTGGGAGGCTGAGATCTGAGGACTGCAATTTAAAGCCAGCACAGACAGGAAAAGTCCGTGAGACTCTTATTGCCAAATAACCATCAAGCCCAAAGTGGAGCTGTGGCTCAGTGGTGAAGCGCTAGCTTTGGGCATACAAGCGCAGGGACAGTGCCCAAGCACAGACTTCAAGCCCAACAATAAGGTAAGCAAACCTAAAAAAACCCTTGTACATAAATCTCAGCAAACCACCACAGACCAGCAGGGCCACAGTTGCCTAAGAGCCTCCCAGCTGTGCTCTCCTCCCCGCAACCAGCTGTGCACCCCGAGAGCCAGAGGAACAGTGGTCAAACCCACCATGAAGAAGATCCAGGCAGGGATGAGCATGGCCGTGGCGGCTGCGCTGGTGTAGAACTGCAGCTCCGGGGCCCTGTGGGGGCGTCACTCTACCAGAATGCCCCAGCGCGCACCCGCCTGCCCGCCCGCCGGCACCAGGAATGCCCCGGGCCCACGCCCCAGGACAAGGAAGGGAAGGGTCAGCACAGAGCAGCTGGTGGTGCCAGCCCAGGCTGCTCCCTACGCCAAGTAAGAGGCAGGTGTTTATACTGGGCACCCGGAGCCTTCACGGGGTGGACACCCACCCACGAGCCTCCCCGAAGACACTCACGAGAACTTGTACTTGTCCCCACTCAGGAGCTTTTTTGAGAAGACATTCTGCAAGCTAGAACAGAGAAGAGGTCATGCAGGAGTGTGGACATGCCGGCCGGCCTGCGGTCCTGGGCTAGGTGTGTCCAGCATTGGGCGAGGGTGAGGCCCATGCCTGGCTGCCTCTACCTGAGCCATGCCTCCAGCTCTTCTTGGCACTGTTTTGGTGTAAGTACTGGGGCTTGAACTCAGAGCCTGAGCACTGCCCCTTAGAGCTTTCTCTTCTCAAGGCTGGTGCTCTACCATAGGAGCCACAACTCTTGCTTATTTGCTAGTTAACTGGAGGTAAGAGTGATACAGACTTGGCTGTCTAGCCTGGATTTGAACTGAAATTCTCAGACCTCAACCTCCTGAGTAGCTAGGATTACAGGCATGAGCCACCGGTGTGCCACCGGTACCCAGCTTGCACTGGTTATTTTTTAGCTAGGGATGTGCCTTTTGTCTGGCCATATGACTGAATGTCTTTTGTGCTTTCTGTAGGAGCCACCTACCCCTCTTCCACTGAGACAGTCTAATCAATGTTTTTGCGAGGCTGTTCTGGAACCACGGGCCTCCTAATCTTGGTCTCTTGTGTAGCGGGATGGCAGGTATGCACCACCAGGCTGAGGTCTTGGTTGAGAAGGGGTCTCAAAGGGCTTCTGCCCAAGCTAGCCTGGAACAGGTAGCTTCCCGAGTAGCTAGGACTACAGGTGTGAGCCACCAGTGCTCCACTTGCCATGCTGGTTCTGTGTGTGTTGGACATACACGTGTACTTAGTAAGGCTGCGCTTACACTGTGCTGTCAGCATTCAAGGTCTCAGGACTGTGCACCAAGTTCGGGCCACGGCAGGGGGGCCTGGCCCATCACAGGCATGGCTGACTTGTCTGCACCAAGTGCTCCTGGGCCCAGCGCAGGAGCAGGAAAGCCTGTGCCCCTCCCATGACTCACCAGTCCATGACATTGGTGGACAACGCAGCCGAAAACCCTAGGACGTTGAAGCTCAGCTCAGTGGCGGTGCACAGCGCCAGCCCCCCCATCACAGGGACAAGGGACAGGTTGACCAGCAGCCCTGGGAAAGGCAAAACACGCGGGTGCTGCTGCAGCCCTCCCCAGGAGTGGGACTGTCCCCATCTCTACCCCTGCAGGACAGGACAGACCTGCAGCTCCATCCACAGACTGGCCCACAACCTGGTGCTTCTAAAGCTTGTTTTCCGGACAAGGTCTGAGCTTCCCCCTGGGGCTGCCCCAGGAGGAGCGGACGGGGCCCAGGGCAGCCGGCCAGGCCTGCGGAGCTGGTGGTCCAGGCGGGAGGGGGCGCAGGAGGTCCGCACCTGTGTACTCCCCCAGGATCATTCGAGACAGGATCACTGTGAAGATGGGCGCGGAGCTCTTCACTGTCTCAGCGAAGGAAACCGCCACGTTCTTCAGGCTCACCAGCCCCAACACCACGGTCGCAAACCTCAAAGCAAAAGCAGCGTGAGGACGAGCCTGTCCACACAGGGCAGTTCTGGCTCTCACGGCGATCCTAGCTATCAGGAGGTGAGACCTGAGTGAGGCTCGTGCTTCAGAGCCGGCCCGGGCAGAGGTCCAAGACATTCATCTCCAATTAAGTGGAAGTGTGACCCAAATGGTAGAGTGCCAGCCTTGAGTAAAAAAGCTAAGCAAGAGTGTGAGGCCCTGAGTTCAAGCTCCAGTACTGGTGTGTGCACAGGCACACACACAGCACACAGGAGAGAGGCCCCAAGAGTTAGCTCCAGCCTGTGGGCCCTCTGGTTGGTATTCCACCACCTTGGCCCTCCCTCCATGTGTGGAGGCCTGGCCTTCAGCTCCAAGGGTGGCTGCACAACGTGAAGGTGACTGCACTGCTAGAGGTGCAGGGCCTGGCTCCCCCCCCCCCC